CCCCCTCCCCCCCAACATGATCTGCCTGCATTCTGTAGAGAAGCACAGAGACCCGGTGATGACATCACTGAGACAAAAATAAGGAATTTAATGGAAAGGATTTATTTAATCATCTCATTAGCATATTGATGAGGGGGAGGGGCTCAGGGAAGGCAAAATTGAACTTCAGCTTTAATTGAATGTTCCTACACAAGGAAACGGTTTGGGTTTGGAGTCTTTGAGGGTTTTGGGTCTTCTGGAGATAAAAGCAGCACTGGAACATGGGAGCGAAAGCTGATACTGCAAAAGCCTGAGTGTCCACGTTGGTTTGAAGCTGTAGGATGGGGGGATGGTCTCGGGGGAATCCTCATTGCCGGTGGTCACACGGCCCCGAAGTACGTCCGGTAGGCCTGGCGAAAGCCGACCCATTCGGAGAGCTGGTCGCAGGGCCGATAATTCTCACACTGCTCCTTCTTCACCTCCAGCTGAGGCTTTATACGCGGATAGAACCTGGACAAGGAAGGTCAAAAGGTCACCATTAGGGGCATCAGAACTGCTCTGCTCCCCATACAAGTCAATGGAGATACATTATGTAACAGGAAGACGTCAGAAAAAAGTCAGGAAGAAGGTGGAAGCGAGGTCAGACGCTTCTGTGAAGGACTTTTGAAGTCCATTCAGGGTCACCATCTACTTCCAGGACTGAGATGGGGGCTCAGAGATGACACAATCGTGTACATTCCGGTCAGGCCCGGATTTCCCACCCGGCCTCGGGGGCGGCAGAGCGCAGAGGGGCGGCAGCGGTGACCTTGTGGGGAGGTTGCGGGCGCCGGTGTCCGGTGTCCAATAACAAAGTTACATGGTTGCAGACTGATCACTGGGGGAGGGGAGACCGAGGACCTGTCTTTGCTCCATACAGCGTACTTACCTTTCATAATAGTCATAGGCTCGCCTGTGTCTTTTGATGAGGGCGTGTGCTGAGCTCCTCTGCATCTTCACGTCTGGAAGGAAAAATTTGAAAGGTCTTTGATTTCCATTAAAAGTAACAAGTTTTATGGGATTCACCTAAATCGCGGTATTGCTTTTTGTGCCCATCTATTGTCACTATCTATGTCTGGTCATTGCAAAGCCTGAATGGGGAACTCCTCCTCTGTGCCTTGTTGGCATCAAAGATGTAGATAGCACAAGGTGGGCAGGAGGTGCGCAACACCATTTATACTTGTGTTCAAATCACGGGGCCCTTCACCCTGAAACACTCTATAAACATTTGTACGGAGCCCAAAATGAACTTTATTCCTATACAGTATTTTCTTTCCAATGCACTGTATTTAATATACCACATACGGCCACTAGATGGCGCTCAGGAAAGACTTATTTATTCCCCATGTTCCTCATCGCCATCTAGTGGCCATAATGTAGTATTACATGACATACAAAATGACATTAGATTGCATCCATTTGCACAGATTGAACATTCACAGATAGGGATGCACCTATACTCCTATTGGCATCGGTGCCAATACTGTGTATTTGGGCAATGCCTATCCCGATAGCGGAAAGTCCGGTATCGGAAAGCCGGGCGGTGAGTCAATATATGCTGTCTGGCATCCTGATTGGCCCGGGAAGCCACCTGCATGCTCTCTCGTCACCAAAGAGCACGGAGCTGGCTTTCTGGCAAATCTGGAAGTATGGGGGCGGGTAATGACTTGCCCACGGGCTTCCTGATTGGTCGGGAAACCGCCTCCTTGCTTCCTCATCACCTGGTGACAAGGGAGCATGGAGATGATGCTTCACGCTGGCTGACTTCCTTAATGCGACTTTCGGTATCGACAAGTACAGGAAAAAATAATATCAGCGCTCGATAGCGATCCATAGAGATTTGCAGGGTGAATAGCTCTGCCTAAACCTGACCCCCATGAGTTATATGTATATGGAGTGTTACATGACTGTTTAATGTTCATAGAGTCATTCTAGGACGGACTTGCACTTTAACAAGGTGCAGCACATAAACGTCATGTACAAAGCATGTTCTGTATATAGGAAAATGATTTGGAATTAGGAATGCGTCACTGATGGGTAAGGATGTAATGAAAAGCCATCGGAGCAGTGGCGGAACTACCAGGGTCGCAGAGGTCGTGGCCGCGACCGTGCCCTGGAGTTCCGCCACTTGGAGGGGGCCCAGGACAGGAGGAAGGGTCACCTGGTGACCGCTGATTACCAGTCCCGGGACCTCTTCCCCATGTCCTGGGCCCTACATGCTTCACGCTGCTCCCCTCACCTTGTTCCGGGCGCAGCGTGAAGCATCATCCAGCCGGCGCGGCAGCCAATGAGTGGGAGCGGTGTAATCCCCGCCCCCTCATCACACAGAACTGCTGCCCAGTGCCGAATAGAGGTGCTGCGGACACGAAGGGGGAGACAGGGAGCTGGAAGCATGAAGGAAGGTGACATGGGGTCCGGGAGCGGAAAGCTGGGGACATGAAGGGGGAGATAATGGGGAGCTGGGGACATGAGGAGAGTGGGGGTTTTTTTCCTTCTCTAAATGTATCAATTTTGTTTAAAAAAAAAATAAAAGAATCTAATTTGTTTCTTCTTGGGGGGGTACCTTCATGGATTCTTGCATCGGGGCCCCGAGGTCACTAGTTACGCCACTGCGTCGGAGTGATATCTGTGTCTTACTGATCCCAGCCACCGTCACCCCCCCAGTGAGCAGAGAGAGATAAAAGGGGGAGATGCTTTACCTTTGGAATCGATCATCTTTCTTGATTTGTGAAGAGCGGGACCTGAAAGGAATGGAAGAAGAGAAGTTTTCTACTTTGTAAAGGATTTTGGAAAGATGAACGCACAATTACTCGCAGGATTGACGTCTTCAGTATATTGCTTTTTTACAAAACTCATGTAGCTGCTCTGTACTCTTCTCACCCAGACTGAGCCGGTGTCATTGCTAGATGCCTGGCTGTCATGTTCATCCCCTTTCTTCAATGCTTTGCCACTGACCCGGAACATGTGCATGCAAATCATACTGAATGGTGATAAGCCGAACGTACCGGGGTTTGGTAAGCTTACTTAAAAGGAGAACTATGGGGTCAGTGTTTTTCCCCATAGTTCTCCTAAGGGTAACGGGAGGACACAAACTAGCGTCCTCCCGTCACCCTAAGCTCAGTATATAGGGAGCTACAACTCGCGGTATACTGAGACCGCCGCAGCCGGGACGGATCCCGACATCGATGTCGAGATCCACCTAGCTGCGTGATTGACAACTAACTCTGCCTATCTAGAGGCAGAGCCAGCTGTACCCTCCCCCTCCCCCATCCGTTCCGCCAGTCAGGGCTGGAGGATCGGGGAGGGGAGGAATCCCTGCAGGGAGCCGTGACTGACAGTCAGGGAGATGCTCGAGAAGCGAGCGACGGTAGGTGTTCTCTCATTTCCCGATCTATTGAGCCGACGTGTGACAGTTTCATTGTCACACGTCGGCTCGAACTATGAGGTGAGTGAAAATCACTCATCTCATAGTTCTCCTTTAAGGGGGGGAAGCCCCCCCAATAAAAAAAATCAATGTGGGGTGCCCCCTTAAATTCATACCAGGTCCTTTTACAAGCACGCAGCCTAGCAGGCAAGGGGGTGGGAGTTGGCAAGCGTGTTTTCCCCCCTCTGGACCCATACCAAACCACACGCCACCAACATGGGGGGGGGGGGGTGCATATTAAAAAAGAGGACCCCCCTTAGCAAAGTGTCTTGTTCCTATGTCGATGAGGAAAAGGGCCTCTTCCGCACAGCCCTGGCTCGGTGGGTCTACGGGTGGGGTGCTAATCAGAATTTGGAAGCTTCCTTTAAGAATATAAGAGGCACCTAGATGCCGCCCCTCCCATGCTGCAGATCCATTGTCAATCATGTCCTCTAGCAAGCAGGGCCGGA